TATCTTCATATCTTTGATAAGTATTGATAAAAGGAGATTAGTACATACTCTATTTGGAAGCAGATTTTACCAATTTTTCAAACTATAAAAGAGTTTACACACACAATAGTAGTAGTTTGGTGAAATATATTGACGACAAGATTAACACTACAACATCAATAAAAAAAATTGTTTTAGAAAATAAATAATTTTATTTGATTATTACGATATAAAACCGGATCCAAATTCCAAATCTTATAATTTATTGTTTTTTTGTTAATTGAATTATAAATGAAGGTTGACAAAGAAGAAGAAAAAACCCGTAAATTGTTAATGTTATTAACGAAATTAAAATTAATGTCAACAAAAAGAAGATATTATTTCATATAAAAAAAACTAAAATTCAAATTGAACATCATTAGTTACAAAATAATATTTTCTGTTTTATATGATTTCTAAAATTATGTAACCGCGTATAAGGTAGGGAGTCATATATGGTATATATATATTTGTTAAAACAAATCCGATAACCGGGTCCACCTCTAAAGCACCATGGTTTTTTGAATAAATCGGTTTATAGAAAAGACAATTGACATGTATAGTCATAGAAAAACAATTAGTTAGATTTTATACATATGAGTTTTTTTTTTATTAACTAAATTGACCCTAAAAAAGGGGATTCCATCATATAGCTAATTTCAAAATTGAAAATGTATATTTAGCTAGTGAACTCTAGAGTCTAGATACTATAAACATAAAAGACATTTCACGATGCACAATTGATATTACAAGCATTTCGAGTGATTTAAAGTTTTGTTACAATTGATTTTCTAAAGCGTGACTCTTTCTTTTGTTTTGGACCTATAGACGTTCAAACTTGCCGTTCCAAATAAGCTTGGACAAAGTTTGGACGTTCATTCGATCGAACGAGCGTTTAGACGTTTATATTTTAATCTGTAACAAAAACATAGTTCAGAGTTAAGACGTTCATTCGATCGTTTTCCAAAGAATACAAGTTGGTATCAAACATATACCGAGTAAAACGCATAGATATATAAGATATCTCACAAGAACAAAAGAGCAACCCC